ATTTTTTTATTTAATTTTTTGTTTAAAGTCGATTATCTTTCGTTAATATTTTTTTTCATTGTACATTATATTTTATATTTATTTGAATTCAGCGAAAAAAAATTTAAATCTGTATTTTCACAAAAACAATCTAGAAACTGTCACAATTCTGGAAATTGACAATTTCCAGAGTAAAGATATTTACAAACACAGAAATTTTACTATTATAAAAATATACTTCATTACTACTTTTTTTAGTATTCGTCGTGTGATTTATTCACTAAAAAGTAAAAATTATTTAATTGTATTATTACTTTGAAAGTTATAGAATTAATCAACACACAATAAAAAAATTAAATTAAAAATTTGCAACTTTTGAGTTAGCTTTAATAAGAAAACAGATATTACTCCTTAAATTAAAATTAATTAGCCATGTGTAGGTGCACATGAAATGTGTTAAAAATTCATTAGAAAAAAATTTCAGGTTACAAATTCTGTAATTATGAAAGAAATTAAAAATTTAGAAGAATTTTTTCCGTTGAAATTGCAGCAAGTGTGTAATTAGACATACGTAGAGTATTTGGTTACATATTACATACGTGTCACTGAAAAAAAGTTAGTAGAGTTTCAATAAAAATACATAAAAAAATACTTGTGTTTTCAGGCTACAACATAAAAGGTTAAAATAAACAACAAATTATATATTTTTTTAAATTATCTTTATTCTGCAACATAATTTTTTTAGAAAGAATACATTTTACACTCTGTATTTGAATTCAGCGAGAAAAATTTAAATAGAGTGAAAAGGAGAGAAGAATGTTTATTATTATTTATTATTATTATAATGCACTGTATTTAGTAAAAATACTTACATAAAAACCTTTGGTTTTTATCCAAGCTACGACAGATATCTTTTTTTAATATTTTGGGAAAGAATATTAAAACAGAGAGCAAATTATTTTTATCAACAATTTTTTTCATCGTCCATTTTTTCAGAAACTACATGTTTTACATTTATTTGAGAATAATTTCAGTAAAGTAACAAAAAATATATAAAAAAACTGTTATATTTGATTTAAAATAAACTTCGTATTTAATTAAATTAAATTAAAAAATACGTACCTACATTTTTTTATTCAAGTTACAATCGAATATTCTGTTTTTATTACAATATATAAAAAAGAAGATTTATAAAAAGCAGATTATCTTTTATCAATTATTTTTCACCAATACATTTTATACTTATTTGAATTCAGCGAAAATTTTTTTTAATGTTTTTTCACAGAAACAATCTGAAAAATTTGTTAGAAAATCAGTCACAATTCTAGAAAATTGACAATTTCCAAAGTGAGAATTTTACAAAAATTACTTCATTACTACTTTTTTTAGTATTTGTTGGGATAATTTTCTTTGATTTGCAACTATTTATTTACTAAAAACTATTTAATTGTATTATTGCATTTAAAGTTATGGAAATAGAAATAAAAATTTGCAACTTCTGAGTTAGTTTTAATAAAAAAACAGATATTCCTTCTAAAAGTAAATTTAATTGCACATGAAATGTGTTAAAAATTTATTAGAAAAAATTCTGTAATTATTCATCTAGCATACAATTAGTTTGCGGCTTTGAAAGAAATTAAGAATTTAGAAAAAAAAATACGTTGAAGTGTGTAATTAGACAAATGTAGTGTCATTTTGTCAATACAATTTAATAAACAATTAGCTACATATAAAATACGTGTCACAGGGAAAAAAACTAGTCTGACTTCGTTTACTCTGCAGAAATGTAAGAAAAATTGAGACGTTTAGAATTACTATGGTTTAGTCCACAAAATTTATAAATTTAGTTATAATTTCATATCAAATATTAAGGTTAAAATTTTACCTTTTATTAGGATTTCCAACGCCTCAATCAACAATTTGTCTAGAGCAATAAAAAAATTAAATTGAGTATTACAAAGTCAACTTTACAAAAAAAAATTAATCTGAATTTCTCGATAATTACAGTTTTTCAGAGGATAAACTAGTTCCTTTTAATTAGAATATAAACGAAATTAAATTTACATCAAAGAAGTGGCAAGCAAGACCGAAATTTAACTTGAAATTGTCTTTAATGTAAGCATTCAAATTTAATTTGGGGAGGTTTAATCGTAGCTGCACAATAAAAAATTTATGATTTTTTATTATTCGTTGTGTAAGGAAAGCGAGCGACTTTGTGTGTATTTTAAACGTTTGTAAAGCAGACGTAAAAATGACGAAAAAGTATAATTAAAAAACACAAAACACAAAATTATCATAATTATGTTGTAGGTTTTTAGGGGATGACATATCTGCAGATCCTTTAAAAATGCTTTGGTTGGGACAATTGCACCCATTTTCCCCTTCTCGACGCTCTTTCCCATTCTTGGTCACAAATCTGGGTGCCTGTTGGCTCATGATGGGTTTAGCAATCAAAGGAATTGTAATTTCGTACAAAACTGATATTTTTTTCGTCGCTGAATGTTTGCAAACTTGTAATTTGATGTTTCACGTTTGTATTTTAACACAAATCACTGACAAATTCATGAATATTATGTTTTCAGGGAATTGGAAAATTCTTAAATCTGTACTTTCACAAAACCGATCTCCAAATTTTGTTAAAAAAACGCTCACAATTCTGGGAAATTGACGATTTCGAAATTCACGAAAAATTGAGGAGAATTACTTTCATTATAAAAAAAATACTTCGTTACTACTTTTGCTTAGTATTCGTTGTGATAATTTTCTTTGATTTGCAACCCTTCGCCACGGGGATGCTCCCAACTGGGGGTTACATCCCTGAAGGGTGGTTCCCAGTCTTGACTTTAATTCTATGGTTCCTCTCTGTGAATTTTTTTCTGCTAATACAAGGCAGTAATGGATTTTTCTACACACTGAGTGTTTCCCTCATCATGCAATTTAAATTATTAAATCATCGTTTCAGAAAATTGCGGGCTGAAACAGAACTGAAAAAATTAGTGGACTACCATAATTTTCTGACTCTGTATTGTCAACAACTCAACAAGGCGTTTGCACCCATTTTCCTGCTCCAGTTTTTCACGTCGATTACTTCAGCATCTTTGTCGATTTTCATTTTCATGCAACCGTAAGTTTTTTTCAGTTTGGGTGACCGAAATTGAGTTTTTTTTCAGAGGGGCGTGGACAAATCGCATCAAATTTATACTTTATTATTTATACACGTTGGTTGAAACATCGTTTTATTGCATTCCGGCGGAAATTCTTGTTAATGCAGTAGGTGGCACCACAATTGTTAAAAAAATCAAATTTTGGATTTCAGGCAAGTGAAATTGGTGAAGCTGTTTATGACCTGAATTGGTACGAAATCAGGATTAATCGTGTTAAAAAATTCTTCGTTATTATCCTTGCAAGGACTCAAAGGACTATGGTTTTTAGCGGATACGGACTTGTGAACATGAATCTTCAAACTTTTATTGTAGTAAGTTGGAAATTGTTTATTGAAGAATTGGTTTTAGTACAAATTTTTCAGTATCTCAAAACAGTGTTTTCCTTTTATACCTACTTGAACTCTGTAAGAAAAATCGAAAAATAAACTA